ATGCACTTTGTTGTAGTTATCCTACAGAGAAAAGAAAATGCACTTGACTTGGAATTAATGTACTGTATGCATTCAAAAGTGCTGAATAAATGTTTTATGGACCCATAATAGTGATTATTATTTAAGTTAAGTTAAGTTAAGTTAAGCCATAATCATGTCTTTTTCCACAATCAGGTAGCTGAACAACATTGGTTAAAAAATGTATACATTATATATATATATATATATATTAATCATTTTCGGCCTTTCGGCATTCGGCCATCTGTTTCCTATTTTCGGTATCGGTTTCGGCCAAGAATTTTCCATTCGGTGCACCCCTACTCATCACCATGGGTTTGTCGTAAAAGGAAATCATCATTATTTTCTGACAAGTTATAGATTACATCATAAAGGCCTTAGCTGCTAAAAAATAGGATCAGTATTAAGAGGAATACGAAAAATGGGGTGCAGCCCTATTATAGACTACAAAAAAGTATGAATCCATAATGGTTAAGAATGACCATGTGATTCACCTTGTGAAATCAATTCCAACAATTGAGTCACTGTAAACAAGCCTCTGCTCAGGGGACATAAGAGAAGATTGCGCAGCGTGTGAAACAGCATGAACAAGGAAAAGTGGAGATAGAGAGCACAGTGCCATTATGTACCGCATGTAGCACTTAACATGTTCATGTTGCATAACCATGTGTCGGTCACCATGTAATATTTAGTTAGCGGGTCCTAGCGTCTTCCATGCCTGGGAGCAGTGTGATCCAAACCGATTTGAAGAGGGTGAAGGATACACAATGGAAAGGTAAAATGCTGCTCAGCAGTAATAGAAAGATAAACATAATTCAGAATATCAACAAATGGTGATGCGATTAAACACTAGTACCGAGTCAAATGGCATTGTCTTATTTAGCAAAAATATGTTTCTTGTGCATTTTGTTGCGAGCAGCATGTTTTTCTAATTGACACAGGTACAAACTATGCACTGACATTAGATTACAATAAAAGAGATTCGTATTTTGATAACAAATTTGAGGTGTCTTTTGGTTTAAACGGAAGAGAAAATTCTAAATATCACTATTAAAACACTCAACAATGGCAAATGTTTATGATCAACCAATCTTGGGATCAATTTGGCGAGTTGATGGTTTTAGACAAAAAAAAAAGCAAGTTAAAATGTCACATTGGTCTCTGGGTCACTGTAATATTTTCACAAAGATTATTTTGAATGTACAGTCTACATGAAAACTAAAAGAAAATCATATTTATTAAAAACAATTGTTGGTAGCCACCCTAAAAACACAGATTATTAATAGTTGGATATGGATATTTTTCACAATTTCTTTTATCTAGGCAGATTAATCGATGACCAAATTAATTGTAAGGCCTAGTTACAAAACTAGTACAAATACAGTCAAATGTTATGTTTTAAAAAGACATGTGAAAAAGAAAAGTGGATGGATAAAAGAAAAATAATCGATTGAATCACTGTTTTTGCTTAAAAACCAACTGATTTTTATAAAAAATAGTTGCTAATTATTTTACTGTCGATCTGAAACGACTAATCCATTGATCGTTTCGACCCTAGTTTATGCAATTAAATAAACTGTTCATAAAATGCGTTTTTAAGATCCCATGATAACCCGCCTCATAACAGATTATGTAATGTAACAGTTAGCACACCGTGTGTAATGGGATGTGTCGTAGTAGCTTATAGCATGCTAACAGCTAACAGGCTGAGCCAGGTGTACGGGCCTACCTGGAAAGTTGTGAAATGGCTGGGACGCTGTTAGCCGAGGTAATGCTAAGTGGCTAGCTCCCGGTAGCTGCGGATAGATAGATGCACATAGCGGTGCTGTCAATGCACGGGCCTAAGGTGAAAGCTATCCCACTAACAACAAAAGGGAAGCGGGATAGGGTGTTTACAGTAACGTGAAAAAGCCTGAAAACAGCTTAAATGGAAACAAGGCAATGAATAATAATTATACGATACGTTATTGCAACACTTTCACCGAGGTCAAACTCCGTCCCTGAGAGGATGCTTGACGCCAAACAAAGTGGGAGCTTCGCTATGAGCTAGCACGCTGCTACAGCATGGCAGCATCACTGAAGCAGGTCAACAAAACAAGCTCCGTGCGGGGATTACAACACACACAACACGAAGCGTACAGATGTTTTTAAAAGTCAAAGTTACCTGGCATCGTGCTCCTCTCAAAGTGTGACGTTACACAATGTTATTATAGCAACTATACAGCGAAGAGTGCGTGTCGTCGTTCCTCCGGTGGGATTACTCTGTGCTGCGATGCAACGTAGCTCAATTTAGCTAAATCCTGTTAGCCACCTTGCTAGCGTTAGAAAGCTGGGGCGGTCACGTGGGTTGGGGGCTGCATTCGTGTTCTTTCAGGAAAGTGGGATTTCTAAGTTAACTTCACATGAAACCAAGCGGAAAATATTGTAGCCATCTTTACAGCACAAATGAAACAAGCTTAAAAACTAAGGCTATAACATTACTCGAAATTATAGCCTAAATTAAAAAAGATAGGTGTTTAATTATCCTTTTAAAATATACAGAGCAAGGAGATCGGAGTTTAAGACATGTATTATTATTTTTTATTTACGTTTCTTAATGTAACATGGTTGTATTGTTAATATTAAAGTCTACATTTGTTTAACGTTTACAAAAGGAAGACATTCCCATCTGTAGTTTTGTGAGACAAATTAAGGAACATATAAAATAAATGCAGTGTTTGATCTGTTATAATCGAATAATCTAGCTAAGAATCCTAACCAAAAGAGTTTTAGTCTACACAGATATAAAACAGAAAAATCACATTAGCAGGGCTGGAAGAACATACATTTTAGTTTCTTATTAATAAATGGCTTAAAAACATAAATTAAAAGATCAATATTTCAATCAAACTGTAATTAAAAACTACCAAAATTGCTTGTTGAAGCTTTTCTTCTATAAACTAAGTATAAAAAGATTGGTAATTTGCTTGAAATCAGTCTGATAGTTATATGTGTGATATTGCAAACATGTGGCGTTACATGATCTAAAGGGAAACTCAAAAATATGTACATAGCGTGCATGTGGAGAGCAAATTAATAACAAACTGACCAAAAGGGTCGTCAGAATTAATTGATGTGTGTTCAAATATTTGCAGTGATGCACAGAAACAGACGTGTCCCGAATGTGCAAGCAGCTCCATCATAACATCTGGTTGTATTCCACCACAGTTGTTCCCTTCCTATTCCCCCCAGGGGCTAACGCTGTGTGATTAGATGATGGATCCTCCAAGATTGAACAAAATCCAGCACTGATGCACTTTGAGCAGAAAAACACTGTAAATCACAAATCTCCTCTGAAAAATAGCCAGGAAACAAATATTACAACCTAAACACCATCAAGCATGCCTGAAATAGATCGTATTACTTTCTTCTCTGGTCATATGTCCTAGTGGTTATTAACGTTAGTTCATCGTTAGCTTTGAGTGACTGACATTGTGGTAGCCTGATTGATTCCTTTGCTTCTGAAAGCAACAACTTCTTATAATTATATAAGGCCAACCAAGTGCGACCAGTCAGTATTTGGAAGTATAAGGAAGCTGCTCTCCAGAAATAAACAACATAATAAAACAGTTGATAGGAAATATAGAATAGGCTTTACATTGTTGACTGTTTATACTTTTTGCACATTGTGTGCACTTATAATGCTGAGGTTATAATGTTCAGATTTTGATGAGACTGTAAGAGAGAAGTTTAGATTATATTTTAAGGTCATTTCGGAGACTGTGCCTGCTGTGTTGTTGAGTCATTAACTGAGATAGGTTTCTAATATTTTGTCCACCATGTCTATGTCAATGAAGGTAGATTAAATATGATTAACAAGGCCATACAAATCATATCATTCATCAAAAAAACAATTACCTTAGAGTCGATCCTTTACATTTAAATTATCTTCTCGAAAGAGGAGCCACATATCGTATCATATACAACTGGAGCCATTCTGCTTAAAATGACTTATGATCCCCCAAGGGGTTGCAGGATAAATGTGGAGAAATATCTGATGAATAAAAATCAAGTGACAAGAAAATAGATTCAACTATTTTTTCCATCATTTAATAAAATATTGCACTTCTAAAAGCTTTTTAGTTGAAACATCCCACAAGGAACATTCCATTTGGGTTACATGTTTGCAACATATGCAAACTAACATCACAAATAGACAATAAATAAAACAATAAATAAAATAAATAAATAAAATAAACCATAGACTCAGAACATGTAATCGTTTCAGCCGTACACGTCACAGTAACATTGAGAGGGGAAACTCGGGGCTCACAAAGGGTCCTTGAACGCAACATGTGAACAAACATCCCTCCGCCACACGACCACTACACTTTTTAGACACATATGCCTGCGTGGCTTGAGAAATAAAAGCTTTTCTGCAAATAAATAACACATAACCAGCACTTAGTTCCCTTTTGTTTTGAAGGTCAATTTAAGATATGATAAACAATCAGACTTTTAAAGATAAAGTCTGTTCTCTGAATCAGTGTATAAGTATAGTCTAGTAGCCTATCATAGCCTGTGTTACTTATCTAAGAATAGATAGCCTATAAATGCAACTTTTGAATACTGCATATGTTCCCTAACTTGACAGCGATCTCGTGTAACACTCTACTACATTACAGTTCTTTTTTTATTAAGAAACTTGAGTTTGTTTGCCTCCTTTTCATCGTTCTCATAAAAGTTTTTCTCTTCTTCTCATGCTGATATTTTAGTTGGTTCAACACCATAAGTAATGTTAACAGTCACGTTGATTCAATCTATTAATAAATAGACCTCTATAAGGGAATTTGCACATGGTAATTGCTTTTCTGAATAACATTGTTCGCACGGCTAGCGTTTCTTGATTCTTTCTTCTCGCTTTGTTGCTGCTCTTTCTTTCTTTCTTTTTGGTAGCAAACAGCTAGCATCCCCCTTCACTCCAGCAATAACAACAGACTCACCAACTTAAAGTGCTCACAGGGGGAATCTGCAAACCAGCTGTCGGGGGAAAACGTCTTTCCGGTCCCGGGCGTCACAGGAAAACCACACAGTAAACCAATTCTTCTATTAATCTCCAATTTACAAAATAAACACGTGTTTCCTTTGTCAGTTTCTTAGCGGTTTTGTCTAAGAAAACCAGGAGAAATCCAGTGTTTCTCTGCCGAAACGTCGAGGGGGGAAAACGCTGTGTCGCGGGTCGCGTTTGTCCAGCTGTATAGCTCAGTCATTGGTTGAAATCTACGTCAGTCAACGCTTCCTAATTATGCTATTCGTCCAGATGACCATACGCCCCACCCACCACATTTTACGTAAGTAAACAAAATATAACCCATTTGCCTCGCTGCCTCTTTTTTTGTAATCAATGAACCCCGGTAATATTTGACAACGTGGCTGTATTCACTTGGTCTACAATTTCTTAAAAACACCACACTGTAGTTTTAATATTTTTAAAGCTGAAAAAGAGAAAAGTTGTCCACAGAAGATAAAGAATGTAATGTGTGAGTGTGAGCAGAGGCGTGCACATGCTTTTCAGGAGGAGAGGAAGACATCCACGATGTGTGTCACATGGTCTATTACCGTCACATCGAGTCTCATGTTCTTTAAGAAATACACATTTAGTAGGCCATTCATATTTCTATTTGTGTTCTTCTTCTCAACAGCTCTTTGGTATGAAGAAAGGAAATCGAGTTGTACTTGTTAAGTTAAGTTGTTCCATTATTTATCCATGATTTTTTTTTAAAATCATTATAGGATACTTGTTTTTATATTGTGATATTACATTTTTTTTTATATTACATTTAGGAAACATTGCATTCGAGGCAAGGCAACTTTATATAGTATAAACATGACACTTTCCATACAGTCGTACATTCACTGTAGTACATTCCCTAACAAGGCAGATGCAGATCATTGAAATTAGGTCTGGCAATAAGTAAAATGGTGATGCTAAATCTAGTCCACACTTGGAAATCAAAATTATAAAGGTGGGATATCCAGGTTTGATTGTGATCAAAATCTTACCGATCATACAGTGAATATTTATTATTTATTAATAGATAAAACTAGTTACCCTCGACCTCTCAAAGGAACCTCAAGCCATCTTTTGGAATGGCTTTAAAAGGAACAAAGTCATAAGATCTGGCATAATTTCATGCTCTACTTTTTCTTGATGTTCTTTAAATACCCTGACGGCAATGAGTTGTTTCATCGGAAACTTCCACACAAACACAGTATTGTGGTTATTTGATAATTGATAGCTGACTGTCGCGAGTCAAAAGTAGCCTTTTAAAGCATATGCCTGGTGCTAATCATGTGTAAAGTACAAAAGGTACAGGTTACAGTAAAAAAGGTGTTGTATGCTTATAGATAAATAATGTATGTATTTCTAAACTAATGCTGGAATGATTTTTTTCTAATATTCTGTCTATTATCAATATAAATATGAAAGTTTCAATGATGTTTATGACAAATGGAAAAGTGCAATAAACCAGTGCTTCAGTGTAGAATCTTGTTGCCCTGGAGGATTTTGATGAACTAATTTCCAAACATTTAAGTGTCCTCCTATTAGTTACAGCAACAGACAGAGACATTTTTCTCTATGTGTTTTGACAGTAAAATTGGCAGTGGTATGTCCTACAAAAAGGTCAAAGTTTCATCCGTTGGTTTGATTCGAAGCTGACACCTTGTTTGCATCAGAGCCTTTTACAGCCTCTTCTTTTAGATAAATCAAAATTATGAGTTTCTCCTGTTTCCATCATGCAGGTTTAGAGATCTGACAATGTTTTTAGTATTGACAGCTATTCATCAGAACCACTGTTTGGCATAAACAAGAGGACGACAGTGGTGTGTCTTCCTCACTCTTTGTTTGATATAACCTTCGTAGTTTAGTGAAAACAGTATTAAATTGCTCATTTAGTTCTGGGTTCTGGCACGTTAACACTCCTTTTCCAAGCCTGAACTGAAACCACACGGATTCAAATAATCCATGACGCGCTATTGTTTTCTAAACCCTGCTTCAGCCTCTGTCCTTAATAACGACGCAGGTGGAATGAACAACACTACAACATTCACCAGCTGTTCTCTTGAAAGCTAAAGGAGAGGAGATTGAGCAGTAAATAGGAGGGTGCATTACCCTGACATCACAGTGGAGGGCGACTGTAACACACAGTGTGGCTGTTGGGCAATATGCTGTCAATGTGGAGCACAAATATGTACCGCTATGTACATGAGAAATACTGCACCACCATAACCAATAATACTTGTTGAAATTAGTACTAAACTCCATAAAAGTGGGACCAATCTAAAAGAGGGAATCTGTCATGCAACATTTGGGGATCTTTTCTGAAGCGGCTTAAGGACAGGTCACCAAATTCAGGTCTACTTTTATGCACATTGTTTTATATTTTAACGACAAGGCAGGTAAATATCACAGCTCCAGAGTTAAGTGCTGAATACTCATTGAAAAACAAGTGACTGTACTCTGTACTTATACCACTTATTTTTTCTTTTTTAGGTGGTGGAGGAAGAACAAGATGTTTGCAAGAAGTCAAGGTTACACAAGGTTAGTAGCTAACATAGAAATTATAACTTTGGGGGTGAATTATTCTTTTAACACACTGCCTAGACCTTCATACTGTCACAGGAGAACACCTTTACCTAACCCTTTACACGTACCAACTCTTCTCACACTATTGGTTGTTTTTCATTCTCCACTCTGCTGTAACATGACGTCCCCTCCCTCTTTTCTCTCTCCCTTTCTATAATTTTCACCCTCTGTATTTGCTATTGAATCATAAATCATACATTCCCTTCCTGTGCCTCTCTCTCCGCTTTGCGCTGCCTCTCTTTTTATTACACGATAGCCCAGACCTGATGTCAGAGGTCAGTCATGTTTAATATGTGCGTGTATCTTCTACCCCAGCCTTTCCTGTGGCCCTGGGTCCCCACCCCAGACTTCACCGGTAAGTGGGTTTGTCCGATGCCAATACATGGACAAATGCACGCATACACTCGCTGAAACATACAACACCCCAAGCTTGAACACAAGCAGGAAATATCTCGTTAGCAAGCACACTAAGGTACAATATAGCCTTATTATTTCTAAATATGAGGCTACCACAAGCGTCAGGTTAGCTTAGCACAAAAGTTCTAGTCTGTTTTTGTTGCTGGTAAGTGCATTTTTAAAGAAAAACATTGTAACAAAGCCAGTCTGACTGTTCCACCATATTTCCACCCTAAATGAGCTGGTAGCTGGCTGTGGCCCTTAGCTTGGTGTACCAATATTAGCATCTAACCCTCTAAGCAAGCCTACAGGAAAAATGTATTACCCAAAATGTCCAACTAATGCTTTAACACGCAGTTGCATAAATGTTTGTTGTCACCATGTTGCTATCACCATGACATAAACAACTAAACTGCCTTTAGATCATGTGACTTCCGTGCTTGCTATCTTGAGGGGAAGTGACAGGTTCTCCTTGGTGCTGTGCTGGAGATTGGGGTTTATTTAGAGCAGTTGGAGGAAGAACAGTATCTTTGTGTGTGTGTGTGTGTGTGTGTGTGTGTGTGTGTGTGTGTGTGTGTGTGTGTGTGTGTGTCACTGCTTTTCTCTGACATTCCTACACAGAGCGGAGAGGAGGAGAGCGCGGCTGAAGAGAGAAAGAACTTTAAATCAGACGTTTCTTTCTCATACAAAGAAGTAAAATAGAAACGTTGCAACTTATTTCTCCATCCATAGGGATTTGAAGTTCGGGAAATCTGCCTGCAAGTGGGAAAGTCTTTCATTTTTAACAAGGGTTTTCTGGAGAAGCATCCTCTTGAATCCAGTCCCAGTTTCCTCCTGTTCCTCTCCATCTCACTGCCTGGAAACGGACTCCAAACTTTGGACGGTGGATTTTTGGAACACTTATTTGGAGAGGCAACAAAGGACAAGAGTGCAGTGTTGCAACAGCACACAAGGAGGTGAGTTAACATTGAAAGGGGACAAAAAGGGACTTATAATTGTAAGCTTTTGTAAGTTTAGTGCACTTTTTATCAACGTTTTTTGGACGAAAGTATCAGCACTTGATTTGTCTGCAGTCTTATGAGTTTTCCTTTAACTGTCCGGAGACGAAGCTGCACTTCTAAAGGCTGCCACGCCAGAATATCTACCATATACACTATTGTTAATGGTGCATACAAGTGGAGTGTGTTGCACAATCCGTGCTTAATGCAACGTCTCCAGGGACTCAGAGTTGCTTGTTCTGCTGATCCCCTGCTAGATCTGAGTCGTGCGTCTGCGAAAAGAGAGTGAAAAGGAAATAAATGAGGGGCAAGAGGGGCTGTAAATCCTTCGCTGTGCATTGATCTGAAAAGAGATGACGTGTTTGAAGGAGAGAAGAAGGAAAGAAAAACGTTTGTGCACGAGAGATGAAGCTGGGAAGAGATGTGAGGATCAAGCTCTCTCTAAGTTTATCATCAAATAGCAAGGACAGGCATGGGAAAGAAAGCCAATCATACTCAAGAACACATTCAAATGTTTCAGGGTCATGCATGAATACATGTGCCCAGATGTTGCATGCATTGTAGGCAAAGAAAAATATGTCAAACTAACTTATGGTCTCTCTCTCGCTCTTACTTTCTAAAACACACACACACATATACAGAAAGACATTTAAACAAACACATCTTTGTTTCATTGCTCTCGTCTGTTTAGTTTGCATGTGGCTCAGATCCCAGTCTTATCCAATGATTTCCACGGCTGCAAAACACACACACACACACACACACACACACACACACACACACACACACACACACACACACACACACACACACACACACACACACACACACACAAAACAATATAAAACACCACAAACATATGCACAAAGTCACAAAGTAAATGCATGTACAGGAAGGCATACATTCAGTATAGAGACAGCTCAATGAAAAGGATTATACTACTAAAACAAATGAAATTCTCACACACACATCATGAATTAGTTAATTTATAGTAGCCTACTAATGCTTTTACACACCTCGTCTTCCATGATTCCCTTTTCCATCACAGTGCCCTCAAATTCATATAAATGTGAATAAGTCTTTAAATAAGTGCACAACATTCCTCAAGTGACCTTGAATGACTTTTTCCAGGTTATATTGTTTGTTCAACCCATCCAATAACTTATATAGCATTTAAATAAAGTGCTGACAGTTGCTGTGAATGATGGTTAGGGAGTATCTGAAGAATACGTGTCTCCAAATTTCTGGCTTTCTATTGCACAATATTTATTTTTGCATGATATTGGTGTGTTCCTCTGCAGACCCTGGCTCCTGCAAAGATGGCTGACGAGGCGCAGCCTGACCCCGACAGCCTGCAGATTCCCGGTGAGAAACACACTCTCTCCTCCACAGTTTATACACATGCTTCAACACTATGGAAACCTGGTCAAAATGACTCACCTCCCGTTATCTTTTGGAGTGTGAACGCGCTGACCTTTCCATGTTCTTCTCCCACTTGGAAATTACCCTACTCAGATTCCAGTGACATTCCAGTCATTCCGGTTCATTACAAATATTCAATATAGAGAGCTTCAGGTCAAGTGTGTGAAAGATAAGGTGTTGCCTGCATTTGTGCTCGTATGTTAGTGTAATAATCACTCTTTCCTTATGATAAGAAGCTGCATGTTCTTTGGCTATTTTGTTCAGTACGTGTCGCACTATTCCAATGCTTTAATGTGTTTATAATTCCCTTAATCCGCTAATTCACAGGTGATCATTTATCAGCCCCTCCATCGCCTGCCGCAGCTCGAAATGACTGCAGCATCACACCCCTCACACCTTCGCCCTCACCGGTAACTATGCACTAACACAAACACACATCCACCACAGACACTACAGTGAGGTGTCGAACTAAAGTGAGTACCCTATAAAAACACATTATCTCCACTAGAGGAGAGGAATGAAGGGAAGTCCTTGAAAAACAACAGATTTCTAAGCCAACCTGCTAATTTCCACTCTTCAAAACAATTTATCTCTGAAATGTGAGAGGCATGTGTTTTAAATTCCACCCGTGCTTCCTCTCCAGACAGAAATGATCGCCTGCATTAGATCATAGACTGTGATATTTGTAGCAGACTGAGGATTTCTTCCTTTTTAGTGTTGAACCTTAAACAAGAGAACATGCTAACATGCTAATGTTTAGCAGGTAGACTATACTATGTTACACATTTTTACAGCATGAATACTTAGGCTAAACATTAGGAGAAAGAAAAAAATGTGTTTCAAGGAACAAATTTGCCTTACGACCCAAGGTTGTATCATACTAGTTTTCACCGATTTCTCCTGAGGTAGATATGAATGTCTGTACCAATTTTCATAGCCACACAAATGTCCTTGTCTTTCTCTTAGAGGGTGGAGGTCAGACCCCGGATGTCCTGTCCTTTCTCAGTTGTCGTGGCGATAGACTTTGGGACGACCTCCAGCGGCTACGCCTTTAGCTTCACTCAGGACTCAGAGGCCATACACATGATGAAGTAAGACTCTGTTTTTGTTTCCTTGAACAAATTCAGTTTTATTATTGTCTTACCCTTGACATCTTTTTCCTCCGATCCCTGTAGGCGCTGGGAGGGAGGGGACCCCGGTGTAGCCAATCAGAAGAGCCCAACGTGTCTGCTTCTGACTCCTGAATTGAAGTTCCACAGTTTTGGGTTTGCGGCCCGGGACTTTTACCACGACCTGGACCCGGAGGAGGCTCGACACTGGCTCTACTTCGATAAGTTCAAGATGAAGATCCACAGCACAAGTGTAAGAGGGATCAGGAGAATCCGAGAAAATGGGTGGAATCTGTGGGTGGCAATGACAGAAGAACTATTTTCATAAACTATCCAGAACAAAAGGGTTCAATTTACACATCCAGACCAGGATGCATTGTGGGAAGTGTAGGATCTTAGCCTCTGCAGCTTCCAATTGGGCAGTTTCTTTTCTTGAACTGTCTTTTGCAATTGTTATGACTTTGTTGTTGTAAGAATCAGAATCAGACTTGTTCTTGCAGCAGTTTTTCAACAGTTGGGGTTGTGTTTGCTGCAGGACCTCACCATGGAGACGGAGCTGGAGGCGGTCAGCGGGCGGAAGGTCAGGGCCATCGAGGTGTTTGCTCACGCCCTGCACTTCTTCAGGGAACATGCTCTAAAGGTGCATTATGAAACCCCATATAATTGCAGTAACCTCATATTTATGTTTTTTATGTGTAGTCTAAAAGACAAGGTCCACAGATGAGCTCAAGTGCTTTGCTTTGACAGAAGCTCATAACTTGAATTCAGTTTTGAGTGTGTTTACCAAAGACGATGTTTCTTTGATTGGTTTTAGGAGGTGAAGGACCAGTCGTCATCAGTGCTGGAGGGAGAGGACATCCGATGGGTGATCACCGTCCCAGCTGTGTGGAGACAACCCGCCAAACAGTTCATGAGAGAGGCTGCATACCTGGTAGGAACATGAGCCAGGAGGGTCTCTAGATCTAATATGTCTCCTGATCCATCCATTCTCGTAAAAACATGTACTGTATATAGGTCCTGTGAAAGAAAAACATTTGACCTATCTCAATATTTGGTGACACAACAGCATGAGATTAAGGCTCTTTAATGAATGTTCCCATGGAAGATCCCCTGCTATGCACACACACTCTGCACTTTTCCTTTATCCTCCCTGTATAGCTTCCCACCAACACACACACTCCTCCTTCGGTGCACTGCATTTGTCCCAATGACTTGTAGGAAGTGTGCGTACATGGACAGGAATGCAAGGGGGCCTATCACAATACACATCAATGAGAATGGACTGACCCATGAGTATAATTGTTAATTAATTAGCAACAGTCCATGGAAATGACTGTACTACTTTTACATTCAATATCATGCTTTATTCCTTATTCCCTCTCTGCAAAATGTTAAATGTTTCACGCACACACATTTGTTCACCTTTTCTCCTTTGCCTTTTATTTACCGGGGTACATACATAAATAGTCTAATGGACACACACTTTTACATGCACGCTGGCATATACACTGACATATACACACACCCTATGCTGGCTCCGGCTCTCGGCTGTCAGGGTGTGTGTGCTTCCTGCTGGCGATGATGTCATCTCAAGCGAACAATGAGGGAGACCGGCATACAAACACAGGAAGAGGTGTCCAGACCCCCGCCCTGCACACGCACACCTAAAAACACAGTCTGTTCTCATACGATGTTATAATTATCAAAAGTAATGCACGATTATTGTGCAAAAGTCTGCATAGGGAGGGGTCAGGGTGCATGGGTGAGTCAAACAAACACTTTCACACAAGACACCGCCGTTTGTGTGCAGAGTGAAAACAAAAGTCAACATTGACTCATTTGTTATGTATCTTCCGTACTCAAGCAACGCCACTTCCGTATTTGAACCCAAGCTACAATATTTTGCTAAACCTAGCCAAGTAATGGGGCCAGGTTATAAACTAATGTAATGTTGATATTGCCACAATATTTTAAGATTGAGGATTCCTTTTTTTCTAAATTTCACCAAGTAATTCCAATATATTTATTAATCCCAAACTACGATCTTTCTTTCTTGAACCTAATTTATATATACTTTAACCAATTTCCCCTGGGATTTTTTAAAGTATTGGTGATTCTGATTCAAATTTTGTTGCACATTCTGAACCATACTCTTTTGTGGGAACACTGATCACTCGTGTTGCTGAACATTCATAGGCCAAAGAAGAATACAATAACTTTTGTAAAATATCCTACAAACCATTATATGAGGATGTTTGAGAACTTATTTTTCCAATATGTTTCCAATACTAATATGTCCTCAGTGTCTTAATACAATGGATAATGTTTCAGGGTAATAACACCTGTAATGTTCCTCTCCCTCTCTGTAGGCTGGTCTGGTGTCTCCTGATTGTCCGGAGCAGCTCCTCATCGCTCTGGAGCCGGAGGCCGCGTCCATTTACTGCCGCAAGCTCCGCCTCCACCAGGTGCTCGACCTGAGCTTACAGCCAATCACAAACGGCTTCGACCAGGAAGGCTCCAGGCCCTTCGAATCCAGCTTCAGACAAGGTAGTGTGTGTGTGCGTGTGTGCGTGTGTGCTAGTGTGTGTGTGTGTGTGTGTGTGTGTGTGCGGGCGGGCGTGTGTGAGTGTTCTCTTGTGGACTTGGTCATTAGCATAAGCATGAAACCACAGCATGTTACTGGAAATGATGTTGTTGGATGTCACTTGATGATTGTGGTTTCATGCAAAGGATGAACTGGGGTGTGTGTGTGTGTGTGTGTGTGTGTGTGTGTGTGTGTGTGTGTGTGTGTGTGTGTGGGTGTGTGTGTGTGTGTAAAAAAAAAAGAGATTTGACCTCAGATACTACTTGTGGTTTTTCCTCAGATGACTTTGCAGTTGTGGATATAGTTCTGAGTCAATAGCTATGGCACAGAGTTATTTTCCTGATAGCACAGTGTAAAGAATGTTGTATATGCTAAAGCTCACTAAGTTACTTTTTTCTCTAACGCACAATTGGCATATTATCATGTTATAAAGTTGCTGTTGTGAGCATGTAGGCAAACTGTTCCCTATTAGAAGATACAGAGAACATTAGCATTTATTTTAAGCTTGGTTTCTTGCATTCCATATAATGCAAGTCCAAGTTTCATCCTTATTTTGAGCTCTTCTCTCGAGGGAAACACCTGGCTCATTAGATGCTAACTGCTCTTTGCTTGTTAGCTTTCTGTCGGGCAGGTTGCGTAGAATTGGATTATCAGAGTTTTTGGTTCAAACGAAATAAGGTCTCCTATTAAGCCTGAAATGTAAGCTGATTTAAGTGGCAAGAGTGAACCAAAACAGTAAAGCTGCGAGCAGAAAACTAAAAACAAAGAACTGAAAGATGCTAAATCATTCCTTAGAACTGAGGGGAATTTGGTGATTACTCTCTGCAGTTTCAGGGAAAGACAATTTCCAGAACCACAAACTCTTTTCACTTTGCAACTCTATAGTATTTGAAAGGGTGAATAACTTTTCAATTTTCCCGAAAATGCTGCCAATTTGTAGCCAAGAAACAAAGAGCGATTTCATGCTGAGAAAAAGGACAATGGTGCATTATTCAGCACACCAACATGCCGTCCAACAGCCCCTGCACAGGCCCACTTATACATATGCAGCCCCTCACACACACACACACACACACACACACACACACACACACACACACACACACACACTAAACACAGGATATTGTAATTGGAACAAGGTGCAGTGAGACTATGATCTCACACACACACACACACACACACTAAACACACGGATAGTTGTATTGGAACCAAAGGTGGCAGTGAGACTATTGAGCTCACCCCCCCCCCCTCCCCGGCTGTCATTCTCCCTCTCCTTCCCTGCATTCATTTTTCTTTCTTTTCCTTCTGTCTTGCTAACATTTCCTCCCCCTCTAACTTTTCCTTTTTGCCAGGACCTACACTTGGGAAAGACTCTGCAGAAACCGAACACCACACACACACACACACACACACACACACACACACACACACACACACACACACACACACACACACACACACACACACACATTTTCTATTTTGCTGTTTCATGTAAATGCTTTCCAGACTTGCATTACATTCATCACCCCATCCAAATGAACACACAAAAATACACACACATATTCCATACCCCCTAGATCCAGAGCCTTAAAACAATTGTTCGAATCTTTGCTTTCAGGAAAATATGTTGCTCTTCAATCTTTGTTCCTTCTTTTCCTTTCTTGTGTTTTCTTTGTTTGTTTCTGTCTTTGTTTCGAATACCTTTCTCTTATTCAAATGATCGTGGAGTGAAGAAACATTGGGTTTGAGGGAACCCTAGTAAAAACCACTTTGACCTAAATGATACAAACACTTCACTCCAGACTGTCAAACAAATCACACACACTGACACACACGTTTACATCAGGGCCGCAGCTTCACCACAACCCTGTCAAAGTTGTTGAAAGACAAAAAAAACGACCTTTCCTTAAAACATCCTCCCTTAATCTTTAGATGTTGCTCATCTTAAATCCATGATGTCTTTTTATGGGTCTACTTGCATGTATGGAGGCCCATTAAGTGTATCTGCTCTGTCAAAGGCTGTCAGGAGTTTTGTATTTCTGTCAGCTGCGCCCTGTTTTCCTTGGCCTCCCTCCGTACTCATAACCTGCCAGTCAGACGGTTAGCATGTCGAGAGCGGGGAGAAAGCTGAAATGTGAGAGCATTTCCAACATATTGCTTCTGTCATGCAAAAACATGATGACTCTGGTTTTGGTATGTTTTTCTTGTTTCACTTAGTGTGAAAGATTTGGGGTAAATGTCATGACCTCATGGGTTGTGAAACGTACTTTATGTTGTATAGGTTAAAAGCATTCATCCTCATTAGGTTGAAAGTGTATGTTATGGCATTAAACACTAGCTTAGTTTGTTTATACAGGCAGACTGTTTGGATCTTGGCAATGGTGAAAGGTGGAAATGATCCTTGGGTCCCAGAGCTGAATAGAGTCCATCAAAACCTTGTTGATTTGAAAAGGGCCCAGAGCATTGTTTCAGGGGGACAATAACTCATTTTCTAACCTGAGGGACCCAGAAATCCTTGCTTTGCCCCTGAAGAACTGCACAGCATTGCTGTGCAGTTCTTCAGGGGCAAAGCAAGGATTTCTGGGTCCCTCAGGTTAGAAAATGAGTTATTGTCCCCCTGAAACAATGCTCTGGGCCCTTTTCANGCCCCTCTATGCTGTGCAGTTCTTCAGGGGCAAAGCAAGGATTTCTGGGTCCCTCAGGTTAGAAAATGAGTTATTATCCCCCAAAAACATTGGAGGCGTGTGGCGCAGTGGGTACAGCCTTGGTGTTTGGATCAGGGGATCACAGGTTCAAACCCCACTGCAGTCAGCATGTTGTTGTGTCCCTGGGCAAGACACTTCGCCTAAANGAGCATGTGCAGCATCCTATCCAAATAAAAAACTGAAGTATGTTTTGTTTGTTGCAGCGAGGGAGCAGTTGAGGCGATCCAGACACAGCAGAACCTTCCTGGTGGAGAGTGGAACCGGAGAGCTGTGGTCGGAGCTGCAGACTGGTGAGAGAGGGGGGGGGTGGGGTGTGTCGAAGTGTGTGTCAGACCCCACATGTTGGAGATATTGATGATTTTGACTTTTCACCCCAGCAGAAGCAAACCCACCTACTTACTCATTTATAGAAACCCTCTGTAACCTTTCCTTCCTGCTTAAAGTCATCTCATTCTGCACTTACTCTGTTCTTAATTCATGTTATTACTAATGTAAAGTTGTAACCTTACAAGAATACAATTAAAATATGAACATAAGGGCCAAGGATCAAGGGGCATGTCACCCTAAACTGCAGGATATATTTAGACCCTTTACTTATGTTAAAGCCCACATTTAAAATGTACTTTGGTGAAGGTATGTCAGTATTTAAAAGTAAAAGCAACCAGATCCAAAAGTTACACACAGTCCATAAATAGTAGTGTAACAAATGTATTAAAGACGTTAAAAAAATGAAAGGAGAATCAGCAAATCTTCAAACATGACAAGTTGGAATCACTATTATCAAAGTTAAACTCACAGACAAAACATCATTTTGTGAAGCTGTCAGGTTAATGTAGTGCAATAAGTCCAGTATCCCTCTGAAATGTAATGGAATTGTATTATAGAGTATCATGAAAAGAAAAATACTCAGGTCAAGTACCTCAAACTTGCACTTAAGTACTTGACTTCCACGCACAACCACAAAGTGTGAATCCACAGTGTCCAGTGTTGCCTGAGAGGATCCTACAGGACCAATACATCTACTTCTCCAGTTTTACACATGACAACCATCTGAGGAGCCACGCGCCCCTGCTGACCCTATCTGCTCCCTTTCCTGTCCCCACACACACACACACACACACACACACACACACACACACACACACACACACACACACACACACACACACACACACACACACACACACACACACACACACACACACACACACACACACACACACACACACCCACAGGAAGGACCCAGCCCATGGGACTCTACATCTGCACTGTAAATAAACCAAAGGAGTAGAAGCCAGTTTTATTCGCCTCCTCCTTTCACATTTTCTTCTCTCATCCTCCATTTATTGTTCTTTTTGTGTAGCTTCTCTTTTCCTCACTCATACGTGTCAAGGAGGGGTTCATCTAAACTCAGGGTAACTAAGTCAAAACCGGCTCTTATCGCAGAGCAGATTGTAAACACACAAGAGCAGAGGGCAGCAATCACAGCCTGGAGATTGTTTATGTTTGATGGTCTTTTGGTTGAAGAGTTTCAGGGGGAACACACACACATTAAGACATTCCACAAAAAAGAAGACACACTATCAATCCACTGTTTCCTTCTACAACTTATGGAGTGGAATTTGCACTTCAGTTATTAATGGTGTGTGTGTGCTCTCTCTTGCAGGGGACAGGTATATCGTTGCAGACTGTGGAGGTGGGACAGTGGACCTGACGGTGCATCAGATCGAGCAGCCACAGGGAACACTCAAAGAGCTCTACAAAGCTTCAGGTACTTTCACAATCTGCTAAAACCCACACACAACTTCCTATGATTTAGTGCCTTCATAAGCTTAAGCATCTGTTGTCACATATTTATTTACGACTACAGGAAGCAGTATTTTAGTCCCCTGTACAGTATTTCATTTTACATTCAGTTTTTAGCTTATCTTCGTCTATTTTACATGTATACACTTGCAACATTATCTCGCATTGTTTTATTTCTATTCTGTTTCTTATTGCACTACTTTTATTGTTTTTATTGTTATGTCTTATATATGTTTATGTTGGATTGTCAAAGGAGATCTGCATTGCTATAATTACAATGTAGCTACTGTGTATGACAATGAAACCTTTGAATTTGAATCTTTAAATCTTTTTTTTTTGTAATTCAAATTTGTTTAGAATTCTTCACATAGAACAGTGAAATACTGGCGGCACACTTCATCAACAAATCCATCTCCCTCAGGGTCTTGGCACTGACATTACAAGACATGGCATACAATCAAATAAATAAATATAGAATAAGAAATTAAGTACATCAGCAATGTAAAAGAAAAGGTTTGCGATCCTTGGTTAACTTTCAAATGAATAAACTCTCTATCAGCCCAAGGAGTATCCTCATCATTTTCTGAATCTTTGTATCTTTAAAGCTGCCGTTTTTTTTCCAGGCGGTCCGTACGGTGCGGTCGGAGTGGACCTGGCCTTTGAAGCCATGCTGTGTCAGATCTTCGGGGAGGACTTCATCAAGAGCTTCAAGGCCAAGCGTCCGGCGGCCTGGGTGGACCTCACCATCGCGTTCGAGGCGAGGAAACGGACTGCGGCGCCGGGCAGAGCCAACGCCCTCAACATCTCCCTGCCCTTCTCTTTCATCGACTTCTACAAGAGACAACGAGGGCAGAGTGTGGAGGCCGCCCTGAGGAGGAGCAAGTGAGCGGGGTCTGGGAGAAGGGGGGGGTGTGTGTTTGATTAAACAATGGATGGATTTATGTATGACATTAAAGACTCTCTCCTCAGTATGAACATCGTGAAGTGGTCGTCCCAGGGGATGCTGCGGCTCACGCAGGAAGCCATGAACGAGCTCTTCCAGCCCACCATCAGCAATATAGTCAAACACATCGGTAAGAAGCACAAAGACACGAGATCAGAGCAGAGCAGATTTGTTTTGAATAGCCCAAACCTCTGACTTTACAGGATGAGTTGCCCAAACTGGTGAGCTAATTCAGGGCAGCGCCAGTCCAAACCGTAAAAAGGCAAATAGTCCACGCTCAGAGCAAACTATAGGCCCAAGAGCTCTCTTTGTATCCTTATTCTAGGTGCTAGTGACCTTACTGTTTGTTTTCCAGCCTTGTTCATTCTTAAAAAACTTGAGTGTCTGTTTTTAATCAGTCGCATTCCAGTGGTACAAAGCACTTAGATCTGCTGGCTTTTGTTGGATCAACATAAGACGAAGAGTGGATGTGTCAAATTGTTAAAAAAAGAATACAACCCATTCTAACTTCCAGAGTCCTGCACAAGATCTGGTAACGGCCTATTTGCGTGGAAAGAAAACGTGTGTAAATGGGGGAAAAGCAAATGAGAGCAACCATATGTTGTCTTTTGTCAAAAGAAATCTGAAATTAAGACAACTGTTGACCATTTGTTACATCCAAAGCAGCTAATATTATCGAGTATAATTTGTCGACATGATTTTTCCATCTGTGAATGCGTTGCACTGATTGAGCGGAATGAGTTGCGTACACTGGCATCAACCAAAGCCAGTTAAAGAGACTTTTTCTTGGATGGATTTGTGATTTAAGAACGGGGAGAACCCAGCTTAAACTGGGGTTAACATAAAGGAGATCATTGCTAGCAAAGTGTAGGAAGTTAACGGAAGTGGATGAATGAAGTGAAATCATTCTGAAGGCTTTTTCCCATGTTCCTCCCCTGACAGAGGAGCTGGTGGCAAAGCCTGAGTTGCAAGGCGTGCGTTTCCTCTTCCTGGTTGGTGGTTTTGCCGAGTCGCCCATGCTGCAGAAAGCTGTCCAGAGAGCAGTGGGGCGGACGTGTCGCATCATCATCCCCCATGACGTGGGACTGACCATTCTGAAGGGGGCCGTGCTCTTTGGGCTGGATCCCACCGTGGTGAGTAATCAGGAGCAGCTTTTAGTGATGGAGGTCTTTGACAAGTTCTAACAGAATCTGTCTCTCAGGTCAGAGTGCGTCGCTGCCCCCTCATCTACGGCGTCGGCGTCCTGAACCGCTTCGTGGAGGGGCGCCACCCTCGGGACAAACTCCTCATCAAGGACGGCCGTGAGTGGTGCACCGACATCCTGGACCGCTTCGTCTGCGTGGACCAATCGGTGGCTCTGGGCGAGGTCGTGAAGCGGAGCTACACCCCCGCTCGTCTGGGGCAGCGCAAGATCATCATCAACATCTACTGCAGCCCGTCGGAGGATGTCACCTACATCTCAGACCCCGGGGTCAGGAAGTGCGGGACGATTACTTTAGACCTACCGGAGCCGCTACCGCTACCGGGAGCAGTGGGAGGAGAAGGCGGAGGAGGAGAAGCAGGAGGTGCAGGAGGAGGAGGAGGAGGACCGGAGAGGAGAGAGATCAGAGCCACTATGCAGTTTGGAGACACGGAGATCAAAGTCACAGCGGTTGACGTCATGTCTAACCGCTCCGTCCGGGCTTCCATAGACTTCCTGGCTAATTGAGGAGGAGCAGGAAGTGGAGAACAGGAAAAAACGGATTCTTGGGATGATAATTGTAGAATAATAAACGGTACTTTGGGAGTGGGAGACAGGTTTGTTTGGACTTCAAAGACTCACATCCTGTGATTAAGACATTTAGGCTTTACATTTACTCATTAAAGTAGAGAATAAAAGTGTATTCAAACTTAGCCTTTTTTATTTTTTTTACTCAGCATCTCCTCAACTGGAGGGTAGGGCACCCTTTATTAACAAGAGAAGAAGAAAGTGTCTACTGTCTTCAGTCACCTTATAATGCTGTCACACGCATTTCCTGCCCCTTTCCTTTTGTATGACCTCTGTAAAGCCATAATGGAAGCTGGAGCAGTACACATCCCTTCTCCAATAAACGGATACCTTCTAATAAATCAACCTGTCCGTATTATACTACCTGGAGTGAGACTCACTCACGTTAATTATTTAATAGGAAGACCGTTTCCTTTTCCCCTCATATAATGTATCACACAGGGATGTCAAAAGGGTCCGATACCTCATTCATATTTTTCTGTCCATATATGAGCTATTCACATCTACCTGGATTGCAGCTTTGTTCACGATGTGACTGTGGTTGAGCGTGACCTAGTGGTGAAAGACTGAACTACAAGCTAAAAATCATCATTGAAGTAGAAACTAAGGACCCTTTAAAAGGAAGGACTGTGGCATTATTGCAAGATTTGCAAGTTACTTAAACCTTACATCACTATTCAGTTGTATGGTTTAGTATTAGACGTTTTTCACATCACATTACTTGAGTAAAATTGTCTTTAAAATATAAGTCTGCTCCTTTGGGGGCTTTATCCTTGATCATGCTGTGCCACATTAAATGTCTATCTGTATGCTGTAATGAACCGTATTCGTATGCATGTAAAGTAAGATTAAGAACCTGTGTACTCTGTTCAACATGAGACAATCTCATTTTTGTGCAGGTTGTAAAGCACAATCCTGTTATTATCGTAATGATTAATCCATGGCTCTACATTTTACAATAAAATAACACGTTTTACTAATTTTTCCCACAGTAAAATCTTTATTTGCATTTCTTTTTTAAATACCTTAACAATCTTCTGTCCCCACCCTTGAACATAAAAATAAGACAAAGTCAGCAGTATGATTTCAGCTGTGCATTTATTGATAAGAATGGTCCAATAAATAGTTTCACACAGCCTAAACAATGAATGGTTCAGAACTCTTTCACATCAGTGCTTTCCTTCCCATGTTACACATCAGTTTGTCAGGTAACACAAGCACAGATTAGAGCTGATGGAACAACTGCTTCAGAGAGGAGGGGACAGGAGTGTTTCATCAAACCAAGGGGGGAACTACTTTCATTCTTGTATTGCATCATCACTTTTTCAGCAAAATGGCTACACATGGAAAGATACAGTGCTTGAAATGTTAAACAGACGTGACCTAGTGAAAGCTTCAGTAAGAAAAAACTACAGGTGACAAAGAAAAACAGACGTCATCCATCTTTGACAAAAGTCTAACAATCCATCTTGAAATTGCTTCCCCTTTTTTGTTTCACTACACCTGCCAAATGCAATGTGTGTACGGCTGTTGAAACACCAAATGTTCAACTACAATTACAATCTAAATGCAGATCAAACATGAACACCGTCCTCTATCTGCATTTGGGTTGTAATTCCAGTTTAGAAATGGGCTTCCGTTCCTGCGTCTCTTAGTGAGCATGGGGTCTGCCCATGCCGCGGCCCCGGCCCCTGCCGCCCCCTGGTGGTCCGTCCATGCTGCTGCGGGGGTTCTTGATGGTCTCGTCCACAGACAGGATGAGACAGGCTGCCTCTGATGCTGCTGTCAGAGCGTTGATCCTCACGATGGAGGGCTCCCAGACGCAGGCGATGTAGTTATCTGCAATATCCTCGTTGTTGATATCTACACCGTACCACATACCGCCCTGCAGGGAGACAAAGTCAAGAAGAATTTAACAAATGTTCTGGGACAATCGCAAATCCTTATTGGAAGTCTGATGTAGGACTAGCATGTTTGACTTCCTACCTGTGCGTGTTTGGCGCGCAGTTTGTTCAGGATGTTGGTGGCGTCGAAGCCAGCGTTGTCACACAGCTGTCTGGGGATGATCTCCAGGGCCTTGGCGTACGCTCCGATCAGCAGCTGCTGTTTTCCAGGGATGGTCCTGGAATAATCCCTCAGGTACTTGGACAGCTCCATCTCTATGGCTCCTCCACCTGCTACAACTGAGTCATTCTGAAAACAGGTGAAGGAGGGTCAGATAATTGCGGTAAGAGTACAGGGACCGGTTCTCCGTAACAATCCCATGCGTGTACTAACCTTGATGGCTCTGCGTACGATCATGATGGCGTCGTGCAGTGATCGCTCCGTCTCCTCTGTGAACTGCTCCGCTCCACCCCTCAGGATGATGGTGCAGGTCTTCGCCTTGGGGCAGCCCTTAAGGAAGTTATACCTGCAAACACAGAGAAGATGGGTGTGAGCGGTCGTAGAGAATAATAGAGCTTTATTTATTCTAAAGAGTAATACCCGGAAGAAGACGGACAAAAGCTTTTAACTTGTGCCTTTAACCTTCTTACCTGTCTCCTCCAACCTGGACCTCCTCAAAGTGTTCACACAGTCCCAGGACGTTGTCTGTCAGGGCCGTCACCGACGTCTGGATGGAGCCGCCGCACGCCTGGAAGACACATGACACAGTTTTAAAGCTACTTCAAACATACAAGTGGCCACTAATAAATGTAACATTCCTTTATAGAATAGATTTACTTTAATCAATGTTAATAATTCTAATGTTGTATAGTTTCTGTCTGTTTCCTACCATCATGGTCCTCTTCATGTCCTCCTCCTGCACCCTGCCGGCACAGAACAGGTCTCTGTCAGCAAAGTACTGCGTGGCCACATCACCGATGGGCAGCTTGGACAGAACCACCTTGGCTCCTGACAGATGGATCTTCTCCAGTTTGTCGTACAGGATGGTCCACTCGGCGTCCACGATGGCCTGATACTCCTGCAGGAAGGTGGGAGGTAACAAAAAAAGGGGAGAGATTAACAACATTTCTGGGCACTTACTGCTCTCAATCATTATGTTATGTTTTAGTCTTCATACCTCGACATTTTTTACGCGAATCTCGGCGTTATCCTTCTCAGCCTTCAGCTCCAACTCCACGTTGAGCAAAGCAATCCTTGGGTTGTCATAACGTTTAGGCTGCATCTCAAACCCGGCATAGGAGAAAGTCTTCTTGAACGCAACTCCAGAGATCATATGGGAATCCTGTAGAAAATTTAAAATGTGAAATGAGGTTTCAAAGTTAAACTAAAATATTAAAACCCTTTGTTCACTCTGGTGTTTGAATAAAATAAAAATAAAAAAGGTACAAACCTCAAGGGCTCCTCCAGGGACCTTCTTGATACCGATCAACTTGAGAGGCAGCAGGATGTCCAGAGACATGACGGCATCCACCACCATTTTGGAGAAGAAGTCCTTCTGACCGGCAATGAGCTTGGAATTCAGGGCAGTGGCTGCACACTTCTCCAGCAGCTGCCTCATCTCTCTGAGAGGAAAGATGGGATGGGAAAGTTCATTTCAAAAGTACAAAACAAGATTTTAAAAAAGTTCTCTTCAACTCCAACCATGTCTTGTGAATAACCTGTTGGTTAAAGTGAGCACTTACTGCTTGTCGCCTTTCTTCACAGGCACGGCAATCTCCTTGATCTTGCTGACAGCGAGGTGGGTGGCGGTGCGGAAGGCTCTGATGATGGTCTGAGGGTGGAGACCCTCCTCCACGTACGGCTTGAGCTGCTTCAGGAACTCAGCAGCCAGGAGGGTAACAGAGGTGGTGCCATCACCAACCTAAAATGGTGCAAGTAATGAAGAACATTATTAAGAACTATTTGAGGATGTGGCTAAAACAAATCTAAGTAACCAGTTGCCTCAACATAATCCATTGTTAGAGCCACAATGAAGTCAGGGTTATTATTTCGAGTCATAATTTGATAAATGATTTAGTGATGGAGGGGTGATTTGTGTTGCCGTAGTGAATATGTTTTGATGAAGTGATTGTTTATTTTATATCGTAAATATGATCTGTTTCCGTGTACCTTCCGGTGTGTTTTTAAGTGAGGTAATTGAGGACAGCCGGGGTGCTCGGAGACCTGATGAGACGGGGAGCGGAACAGTTTTTCGACCGCGAATTGCCGACAGAAATTAGTGTTGCAAATTGGACTGCAAACAAAGTATAGTTTAGTTTATATAGGAAAGCATACCGCCGAAATATTGTTTAAAGATTTTTTATTTTAGATTATTTAAGTCAATACTTTTTTGGTAATAAAATACATATTTTTGACTGAAAACCTTCGTCTGCTTATTGTTTTGGATTGCGTGTCGTCAACCCCGCTCTATAGTGGCAAGAGTAAACCCTTGATGCATTAACATCCATGCTTAAACACTTCTCACCTCAGCATCCTGGGAGCGGGCGATGTCCACCAGGGTCTTGGCTGCAGGGTGAACCACATCCAGCAGTTTCAGGATGGTGGCTCCATCATTGGAGATGGTGGCCTTACCTGAAAAACACAATCACACATTTTCAGTAAGAGTAAACTCATCACTTAATCCATTCCTCCATCCTTGTCTTCCCATTTCTCCTCACCTCTGCCATCCACCATCAGTTTGTCCATGCCCCTTGGACCAAGGGTGGTCCGGACAGCCTCAGCAATAACCTGGAGAGACACAACAGGTGTATTTAGACTGACCAATTCAAAAAGGGTAAGAAAACAAATACAGGGGGGGGAATTAAAGTTTTGCTGACCTGGCAGGCATTGATGTTGCTGACGAGCTGGGGAACGCCCTGAGACGTGTCTGTCCCCTCCTTCAGCAGGATAACTGGTGTGGGCTGGAGAGAGAAAGGGATAAAAGGAATCGAGAAGAAAGCGTGGTTACTGTTTAAAAAAATAATAATAATTAAATGCATAATTATGCCATGTGTAAAAAGTGCAGCATGTTTCACATTATTGATAAGCATTGGGATTTTCCTTATCCCAAAAATATTTGACATTATTACTATGGTATTGTCACTCAGCTTGGGTAAAAACTAGAAGTTGTATTGCTTTACCATTTAAGGCAATAACCTAAAGTGTTAACACACAGGCTGTGGCTACTTCTTGTAGCTGCAGGGTGTGATGCTTTTGTTACACACACATGATGTGCGACACTGTCAAAAGCCTGCAGTCTGTACTTCATGTTGTTTTCTGCTTCATAGTCTGCTAATAATAATGCTCATTGTTGCAGACTTAAGTTAAATGTAAAAAAACCACATTCAACACACTTTAGATACTGTTTTCTGTTCATTAGCTAGCAGGAATTAGCAAATGACTTAGCAAGAGTCACTTGTCTTTGTTGCTCTGCGTCATTCTCTTTCAGACAGCTATGTCTCATAAATATACTGACACATACGAATGCTACTTGACCAATAGCACTAACAAAACCAGATATAGATTTAACTTAATTTAATAGGCTCGTCCGTTAGCTTCCTATGCAGCCACTCATACAAAGAAGCTTAACACACAGCAGATAACATGACAATAACCAGACTAACAATGACCATTTCAAAAGGTGTTAACAACTTATATACAGACATATACTTAAATTAAATGAAGAGACCAAAAGGTAACCAGCTGAGCGTACTATATTTTTTATTCAATAGCATCACCGTTAGCTTCGTAAACGCCCATTGGTAGCATACGAGGCTAACAGTCTGGCTAAAAATAAAGCCGTTTTACAATCATTTTCCAATAAATCGTTGTTTCTTTAGACCAACAAAGGGATGCCACATAAATTATGAGTTATCTAGATGCAGATGCCCGCTGAGAAACTGAAGGATGGACACGGATTAAACATTTGATTTCGGGCATGAATGCTAACTCACTCACCATCATCTTTGCAGTTCCTTCGAGAAGCTTTCCACCGGCGTCCCTTCCCAGAATGCTGTTCGACTCAAAAAGCAGTCGGTGCTGCGTTCAAGAACATGCTGCAACGAATTTTCTAATTGTATGAATTGTACCTAAATACAGATTTATTGATAAACAACTCCTTTTTTGCAAATGCTGTTAATGTAAAAACAATAATATGAAGTGTTTAGTATAGTAATGCACACAGATGACATTTTGAAAAAACAATCATATGAATACATTGTGTACAAACATATGATATCACACTATGACACAAATAGGTATGTGCAAATTGTTCATTAAAATCTCTTACATTATTGTTACATTTGTACTGAATTAAAACATATATATTATTTAAATGTGTATTTATATGTCTGTCTGTTTTTATTTATTTACTACCAAAGGATTTCGTTGTTTTGTCTTAAGTATTAGACAAACTATACTCAAATGTAATCTTCTTTTTATTCATGGCAGGTTTTATCATATTAGGCAAAGTTTCCGAAAGACACCTGCATGGAAAACTTTCATCAACACACAAACCTGCAAAGAGATCAGGTGAGTTCATTTTCATGCCACCATACATTAACACATCATATTGAGCATGCAAGCTGTTTCTTTGCATAGTGGGATGGTAATTGCTCTGGAATTTTGCATTTTATAAAACAACAATGCAATTGTCTTTTTTTTCTGTCCATATCATAGAGAAAACACTGCAGACTAGATGTTTTTTTATTCAGAGAGTTACAAATAAATTTTCCAGTAGAACCAAGTGCAAGAAATGTTGGGCTTTGAGGGGATTGTTAGGATTCTTATGAAATGGCATTAGGCTATATGAAGTATTAATCTACACTACAGCATAGTCAGTTTTACAAAATGGCGATTGACCACCGCTACAGGTTTGGAGGAGGGAACAGAAGTACTAATAAGGAAGTTAAGCAATCCACCCTCAGATTTTTTTGATGAAAGACAAAATATGTTTTGCTGCTGCCTTCCAACGATATGAATGTGCTTTAGAAATGTATAAGCTTCTGGTTGTTATCCCTCTATACAGCAGAGATGGGAATTAAAGTGGACCTATCATGCTATATTTGAATAATATAGTGTAGGACCATACCTATATAACGCATATTTATACTTTTCATTTTTCAAAATACCAAACAGATCATGCATTTTAGCCATTCCTCATTTCGCTCAATTTAACACTGCCTTTCATGCTCGGATTCAGTGAGAACAGCATCATCTACAGGCCTGAAATATGTACTACAGCGTCTCCAGCGCTTTCGAACGGCAATGTTCGTGGCTGTCTCCTCCTGATTGGTGGAGTTGGCCCAATAGCCGTAGCGCCACTTCTGTGACGTCATAGAAGTGTTCAAATCTGGATCAGTCTGTATCAGATTCCTTTCGCAGCCCCTTTTTTAAGCAGATTTGGGTATGGAGGAAATAGGCAGAGGGTTGTTGTTCTGACACTGGTGAGTTCCTGGAACAGCCCGGGGACCATATTCATGCGCGTATAAAAGACGTACAAAAGTGCATTTTGCATGATAGGATACCTTAAGTACACCATTTTAAGGTAACCCTGTGAGATATTGGGGAGTTCAGCGTGTTGCTGAGCAACTGGGCGAGCCGGCCCAGTCGGCCTGCAGGTACGAGCAGCGGCTTGCAGGTTACTACAGCTGGGCGCACGCAGCCCAAGACCAGCGTGTCCGGTACTGACTCGTCATCACAAACAGAATGAAAAACCTCCCTCCATCGGTCATGGTGAATGATGAGGGGAGGTGATGAGAGAGAGGACGGCCTGGATGAATGACAAGGTCACAAAGGCGTCTCCTTCATGGAATTCATCTCTCTTTTCCGCTGGCTTCTACCCAACTCCTCTTCTCCGCACTTTTCTTCTTCCTCTCCTCCATCCTCACGAACTTGACCCACCGGATTTTCTGAGTCTTTCTACTGCTTGCTTCCCCCTTTCGTTCTTCTTCTTTCTTTCTTCTTCGCTTCTTCTCTCTTCTTCCTTCTCTTCTTTCTTCTTCTCCTCCTCCTCCCCTCAGTGTCCCCGGGGAGGTTTCTGTTACTCTCTGAGACACATGCAGGGTGCAGAAGGGTCTATGACGTGAACGTAGGGAGGAACACCAGGGCACAGGGTGGAAGATGGAGCGCGTGGAACAACTAGAGAGATCGCCAGGAGATGTAAATCCACCAGCAGACACCGCAAACATGGCCACCTGTACCCCACCTCCTTGGATCCACAAAGAAAGGGGAACGCTAGCCGGAAGGAGCGCCCCACGCGGTTTATGCATCCGCGCATGTTCTACAGCACCCCAAGGGGACACCTGAAACTCCAGTCCGAAGATTGTTCTCTCGGTTCCTCCTCCGCTGCTCAAAGTCATTTTTAAGATATACAACGACGATTGTAACACATCTAGGCAGCTTTTTAATAAAGTAAACCGAAGAACCATAAAATGCAAAATCAGGCCCGTGTCTCTTTCAGATACAATACTTTGAGAACACAAGACAAAAAGGACGATTGAGGAAATTGTTGACTTCTTCCAGATCTAGATACATTTCCTGATCATCTGAAATGCAAAACCAGCTAGCCCGGTATGCAATCGGTCGCCGCTGTTTTACAGTGACTCTACGCTTCCACCCCATTTTTTGTATGGATCTTTTGTCAAGCACTGTCACGAATCATTACTATCGGGGATTGTTAAGAGCAGTTCCACTGGAATATAAACAAAAATATTGTAGTCGCGAGCCGGTTCTCAAACTATACCTATCCTCTACCTCTCTCGTGTAAGTCACAAACTGAATATGGTGTCATGTCCTTTAGCTGCTATTACCTCTAAGGCCCCATTATAGACAGTGTTATCAACCTTACACCCCAGAGTCATCTAAAATAAAACAAAAATAGGCCTTGACATCTCTAAGGACACCTCATCATGTGTGTGGTCTTACCGTAGATAGTAAAGGATGGGTCGCACCACCAGCGAAGCATACCTCTCCCCACACGACAGGCAAGCACGCAGAGGCTGTGGCATCTGATTACACCAGTGGAGGACGACGAAGGTCACGACAGGCCAGGCACATTAAGTTGACGCCCCACAGCGCCAGTGATGATAAAAAACAGAGGAATAGCCATGAAGAAGATCAGCTGGGGATGGTCGAGTGGAGCGGGAAGAAGCTCTGCATGAAGGACACCCGCTCACCCGTTTGACCTTTGAATTGAGCAAATAATAAAAAGTTTATTTAACCTNAACAATAAATAAAATAAATGACAAGAATTCGTATTAAATACAATTTATACATTTCTTACAGACAGGCCTTGTGGTGTCCGTAGGCTTGCCCTCACTGTCAGAGATTACTAGCTAAAATACATCAAAATTTAGCTTCTGGCGTCTTTTTTGTCCAACAAACCGAGGCGCAGCCCGGCAGTTGCACTCCCCACTTGCAGCTGCTTTTCGTTTTCTCACATGCTCTGGCCAGCCTAGCGCGTGCACGACAGAGGGAGGCACTTGAGCGTGCTTGAGAGGGGCGGGACTGCAAGGCCACGGCTGCAGTGCAGGGATTGGAAGCAGAGTGCTGAACACACACGGCCTTAAATTAAAATGGCGCTTTCTCACCGGAGTACTTTCCCCCGTCATTTCTTAAAGTACCGATAGTAATTAAACGGAGGGAATCGAACGTTTTTAACTGCAGGGTATCGCGGTATACCTTTCAAGTATCGGTACACCGTGCAACACTAGTCAGGAGTCAGTGTCTCTCCCCCAAACTCACACATATACAACTCGATATGAACTGAAGAGCCGCATGAAACTAGGCAAAGAGCCGCATGCGGCTCGAGAGCCGCGGGTTGGCCACCCCTGATCTAGCTAATAGTAAATTGCATTCAACAAACACACTAACCCTTCTTTGTTCTCCCCCAGGGCTGAGATTTATGATCCTTACGATCCCGTCTCGTCAGACTCTGAGCACGAGATGCTACAAGCCCAAAACCGTAACCATTCACCCCCGAATCAGGACAACCAACTAGAACATCAGCATTTGTCTCCAGGTCAAGACTGCCTGAAAAAACGCCGCTTTGCCTCAACCTTCATTGAGTCAGTGGGCATCAACATGCAGGACTTGAGCCCTGACACTGGACCCAGCGAGGGTCGAGATCTCAGTCCAGATCATAGACTACCTGACCATAGGCTGCCTGAACAACAGGCTTATAGCCCCAGCACTGAATCACATGACATTTCAGGTTATGACTCCATGAGAAGACATCTGGACCACAGAGTGGACAGCCCTGACCGGCTCATTCAAGACTCCTCCACCCAACACTTTCCTCCATCCTATGGAGAACAGCGGACCAACGGGAAGGAGAGGATCACAGTCCCAGAATACATGAGAGAGGTATCAATAATAAAACTGAACAACCTGCAATGTTTGTTTTCTGAAGGTTGATATTTGTGCAGTTTGTGTTCTGTGGCTTTAGGCCCATCTATTTTTGTCACGCAATAAATATTGTCCCAGTAATAATTGCAAGAAATTATATAATTGTCAATGTTTTATGGCACTAATGTAATGATTATATAATTGTCCATTCAAGAGCAGTTCACTTTTTATTATTATTATAATTTATTTATACACTGGAATTGGAATGTGACTCTAAATATATTAACAACTTACTTGCTATAAATGATATCCAACAATAGCACTGCTTTATCATTTGGCTTAAACTGAAGATGTTCCAACATCGTAGTTGTGGACAATAAATCATTTTTGTGTCAGGTCCAGTTGTAGACTTAAACAGCATACATGATGTTTGATGTGCTTTTCTATTATTTTGCATGGTACTGTGGTACCCATAACAGCTCATTCTCTCCTGTGTAGATGACCAAAGTTAGATTATCCCCCCCCAGGCTACAGAGGGACTATCCACTTCCGTTGGAATCCAGGGGAACAGGTACATTTGTCATATGACTCACCATTTTAAGTAAATTTAGGAGAAGTCAATACAGACGAACCAATTAAATTGCATGAATCAGCTTATGGGGTGTTTTGTTTGGAAACCAATTTGAATAAGCAAAACAGTACTTCATTATCGTGTTGTGTGCATGTATTTCCTCTGTAACCTCATAATTGTTCTGTTTCTAAGGTTCTACTGGATTGGACCACGTTCCACCTTCATCTGATGTGCCAAGAATCAGGAAGTTGAGAATGATAATGGACACGTAAGAACTAAGGATACTGATGCACGATTGTTTAAATATGCTACACGTAGAGTATTTACATCACACTCACTGCAACAGCAGCATCAAGAAATCACATGGTTATATATTTTTCAATTTGTTTTATATTGTCATCTGCCATAGTTTGGCTAAAATAGTGCACACATGTAGAGCCTTTCAACCAACATAAAAATATGGCAGTGCAGCGTCAGCTTTTGCTGTATTAGGAGTAACATAAGAGGAGGAAATGCACACAACTTAATTCCTACGCTGATAGGATAGTTGTTTTTGGCTGTCATCAGCTAAAGTTAGGGCTGGGCAATGTATAAAAATATACACAACTACATATATACACAACTTGCTCTAGGTATGATGTTTTAAATGAATAGCGCAAACATCTAGTACAAATTGTCTTGTCATTTTTTTAAGCTGGCATGAGCTTTGGCCTCTGCTTTCGCTTTTTCCCATGGCTGTCTCTCATAGACACACAAAAAACACTCATCATAGCCTAAAAGTATGATGGTATTTTTTAGGTCATTTATCCAAGCCCTAGCTAAAAATTCAATGTAATTGCCAAAAAATGTCTTGTTCAGAACTCCTTAAATAACTAAGTGTATTGTATCTAAAATGTGTCACATTTGTTATAGGGTATACACCCTGGGTAAATGACCAAGTTGACAGAACATTACCATTACCACTTTTAATTCCAATTGGTTTAAAACTTTGTGACTTTTTGCTTTGGTACTTTGAATGTTAGCCACTGTAGTTGCAAAGCTTTATCCTAAACTGCCATTGAGCATGACTTATTATGATGCGAGAGCTGTGTTGAACTGATCTACGACTGACAGTTCTTTAGGGACAATCTCTTTGATTGTTTTGGAAACGGCTTTAAAACCTGATATGGAGGTTTTAACATGTGACTTAAATGTTAGAATGTTTTGGTTGTTAGTTTGGTATACATGGTTGTCACTTTAAGCTTGTATAAGATTATATACATGTGTATTTTGTGCTGTTAAAGGTCTGTTTTTTAGCAATACTAAATGTCATTATATTTTTATTTTAGTATCCCCTGTGACATCTCCTGTGACCTTTGTGACGTTGAGTTTATCAATGGCTTGGAGCTGGAGGATCACTTGGAGAGCAAGAGTCATTGGGACATCCTGGAGTACATCCAGCAGCACAATAACTATGATGATGTGACCATAGCCTTCATACAGGTAAATAATACATAGTATGGCTAAATACATCCTATTGCCTATATCAAATGTTGGTGAATATCATTATTTTGTCTTCTTGGTGATGGAAGGTTTTTTTATGCCCGTAGGAAGTCATGCTGCATAAAAGCCATCAGTGCACCCGAACCATAGAGAGTAGTGCACTTCAAGGTAAATCTCTTCCAAACAACTTCGAATGACACACGATCTCTTATCAAAGTATTTTCCATTCCAGACAATTCAAGTCTAAATACAATCCGTTCTTTGTTTTGTCAGCTCTGCAGGAAAACGACCACATGACAAAGATTGAAATGTTCCACTGTGCAGCTTGCAGCGTCTTCCTATCCACAGCTGCTTCCTCAGTGCACGCTCACATCACCTCTCAGGAGCACCTCGTCAACACCAAGGTAGCACTGCTGTACGTAGCACTGCTGTACGGTAGCACTGCTGTACGGTAGCACTGCTGTACGGTAGCACTGCTGTACAGTAGCATAACTTTTAAAGCTGGTATAGGCAGTGTATTTTAGGCATCATCAGGAAAGCATTTAAACTTTGGAGGATATTTATTTATTTAAATGGTCAGGGAGAAAACTAAATTCCTGAATCTTCTCTTTACTCGGTCTTCACGCTTTAGAAAATCTAGCCTGAAATCCACGAAAGATGTTTGCGACTCACAGGTCATTTTGGTTAGAAATGCATGTGCACGTCCTTTCAGATTGCGACAGACTGGTGCAACCACTGCCTACATTAAAAAGCAAACCCTTAAAAGGAAGACAGATTTTTTTTTATCAAAAAGAGAAATAAACAATATTTGCGAAATAATTTTACAGAAAGAAGAACATTTTGCTCACAATTTAGTTTAAGGCTCACCATACCCAAGGATTACAAATAAGCTACAGTTGGCAGAACTGCTACAGTTAGCAAAAAGCTAAAATATTAGCAATGTTTTTTCTTAATCTTAACACTTTGCTCACATGCATTTTCAAGCATTTGGACTACCTATGTTGTAAATGTATTATAACATCTATTGCACGTCTGTCCGTCCTGGGAGAGGGATCCCTCCTCTGTTGCTCTCCTTAAGGTTTTTTCCATTTTCCCCCATTAACTGGGGGGGGGTACCCTTTTCGAAGTTTTTCCTTGTCCGATGTGGAGGTCCAAGGACAGAGGGTGTCATATTCATATTCTGTACAAACTGTAAAGTCCACTGAGACAAATGTATATTTGTGATATTGGGCTATATAAATAAACTTTAATTGATTTTAGCTAGCGAAGGCCTCGCTACGCAGGTTCTGTCATCTCAAAGGTTACAGACCAACACATTTGCAAAAGAAAACGGACAGTAACATAACTATTGTTTTGGAGATGAATGACTGTGAATAACCATGCTTGTGTGGCGGGAGGGGCTTAGGACTGAAGGAAAAACTGCAGGATGAGATCTGTATCTTCAAATTCTGGCATCAAATCAAATCAAAGTTTATTTATAAAGCACATTTAAAAGCGATTTTTGGTCAGGCCAAAGTGCTGTACATGTAATAAATACTACAATCACATAAAAACACATTACTACAATCACAATAAAAGACAATAAATTACAACAGATATATAAACAACACAGGGAATAGTCAGGAGTCGTGCTCCGCTCTGACTAGAAGGCCAGGGAGAAGAAGTGTGTTTTGAGAGTAGATTTAAAAACCCCTAGGTTCTGGGTCGACCTCACATGGAGGGGCAGAGTGTTCCAGAGCCTAGGGCCAGCTGCTGGTCAGCAGACTTTAAAGCTCTGGCTGGGGTGTAGCGCTGGAGGAGTTCAGGTATATAGGCCGGAGCCAGCCCATTTAGTGCTTTAAAAACAAATAAAAATAGTTTAAAATCAATTCTGAACCGAATTGGAAGCCAGTACAGGCATACCATGTGACATGGTAAAACTAGGACTACACTATACTCGAAAGTTATTATGGGCTTTTTAGCCAATGATGCTAACGATAAACTGCCTACCCCAGCTTTGACAATTCTTTTTGTCTAAAATCTCTTTGTCTTTTTTCAAGTTTAAGTGATGATTATAATTCTGATCAGATTTCTTTTTTTACTGAAGGATTTTCAGGTGGAGCGGAGACTTTCCTGCCTTGACAAAGCAGAAATCATTATGAAGAAGCTGAAACATCAGTTTGAAAACTTCCTGGAGGTATTTTGCAAGACACAACATTTCAAAACTATTCCAACTCAGCCAATGGCATCATGGAGAAATGTGTGAAGAAGTAAGAAATGAGGCCAGAAATGCAGGGAACACATTATTGATAAATATCTCCTTCTCGTCTTTGCATTCTTATTTTGTTTCTTCAATTAAGTAGATCATTCTAATATTTTATGAATTACAGAAATAATCCCCTAAAGTTAAAAGCATGAACACTCACCTTCCATTTTGTATACATGACATGTCACTAGAGACTGCTGGGATACTCTTAAGATTTGTTTAGATTTTGGACCAAGAGACATGGACATACTTAACAATCTTAATCTTAACAAACATGCTAACAATATCGCTATGTTTAACATCATTTGAGATTTTCAATGTGGTATTATGTTGGCACAAGCAATATATTCATATTGACCAAGTCAGTAATCTGCTATTGAGTCCAAAAGAAACCGGTTATCAACTGGCTCTGTTTACTAATGCAAATAACAAGCTATTCTAAAGAGGGGTTTACAGCCTGTGGCCAGTCAGATGCTATATTACCTGATCAGATGATCTATTTTATACCAGCCATGTAAAAGATGCATCGCAACAAAAGAACACTTTTCGTCGTAAAATGATATCATAATAGCTTGGTTCTGAAAAACATGTAAGTTATTATGTAGCTGAGCCTTGTGTGGGTAAAGGTACATCTGAGGCCTGTACTACGAAGCCGGATTTTCGCTTAGCGAGCTAACTTCAGGGAAAACTCTGGGTTTCCGGTCCTACGAAGCTGGTTCACTTCTTAGCGGGCTGGATCTCCATGGTAACTTATGCTGAACGGCTATCCTGGTCCGGAGCAGGTTAGGTTCCAGGATAAGAGATCAACTCAGTGAAAGCACCGCCTGCTGACCAATCAGGGCTCAGTGTGCAGAGTTTAAAGCTTTCATATTACAGGAGAAAGGAAATACAGTTTAGACTGCCGTTGCAGGAAAGATGGCCAGCAAAAATCACCAACTGTGTGAACGTGAAAATTAATAGAATATCACCTCCCATCTTCAGAGCAATCTGACTATTATAACATTAGTGTTAAGAAAGCTTACTTAAATATCTGCCACAACATAAGTAACCGGATCAAATTAACATTACGTACAGCACTGTGAGTGCAGGCGTTGATATGTCCCATGATCATTCATATCACATCATAATATATCATATATTTCCTTATCTGAGTCAGCTGAGCCATATCTGGCTGTGCAACACTCACAGTGTCAAATACTGTATGCAGAAGTATTATTTTAAGCAACACATTAAGTTGACGAAACACTCGAGTCTAATGTAATTTAAGTCAGATCCACTCGGCAGTTATATCATAAACCTGTTAATGTACACATTCAAACACTTTTTCTTTTACCAGCTGCATTCACCTTGTAGGTGAATACAGTTTACATAGATATACAGTGGGGCAAAAAAGTATTTAGTCAGCCACCAATTGTGCAAGTTCTCCCACTTAAAAAGATGAGAGAGGCCTGTAATTTTCTTTTTTTATATTTCTTTTTTATTTGCACAAAAAAAAATTAACAGTTACAGACCATCTTACATTTTTTGAAATAATACAAAGCAAATAATGTGAATCACGCATACAGACAAACGAACTTCAAAAGATAGAGACACAAAAAAAAACAAATAAATACAAAATAAAAACAATTGTGTGTAGCAGAGAACCAGGGGGTTACATTACAAATTGAGTTTTTTAGTTGAAGTCTGATTTATACGGGTTGACAAACTCGATCCATCCCTTCAATACTTATTTCAAAAATGTGTCTGGTCTTGAGTCTTAGAGGCACATGTTCAATTTTTCCCATAACAACAATAGATACATAAGCAAATCACACATTAAAAAAACCACATTATACATAGACTAAAAGATGAATACATATAGGACTTATACAATTTATTCGAATATTTATATAAAGACTATATATAATTATTAATACTAACAGCACTGCTTTCATATACATGATATATAAATAGAATATAGAGAACCAGGAAGAAGGCG